AAAAAGATGATTTTATCCAGCTTTCCAAGTCAAGGATCATGAATTGTGGAGATGAATGCTTAGCCTCATGAGGGATCAATTTAATTTCTCTACACAAATGGATGCAGCCCTGGAAGCACTCACTTGTCTATGCCAAGAAATTTAGAAGACAACTACCTGACCAACCGACTGGAAGAGATCCATATTTGTACTTATTCCAAAGAAAGGTGATCCAACAGAATGCAGAAATTATGGAACAACATCATTAACATCACACACAAGTAAAAATTTTGCTGAAGATCATTCAAAAGTGGTTGCAGCAGTACATCCACAGGGAACTGCCAGAAATTCAAGCCGGATTCAGAAGAGGTCGTGGAATGAAGAATATCATTGCTGATGTCAGATGGATCTTAGCTGAAAGCAGAGAATACCAGAAAGATGTTTACCTGTGTTTTATTGACTATGCAAAAACACTCGACTGTGTGGATCATAACAAATTATGGATAACATTGCGAAGAATGGGAATTCCAGAACACTTAATTGTACTCATGAGGAACCTGTACTTAGACCAAGAGGCAGTCGTTCAAACAGAACAATGAGATACTGCTTGGTTTAAAGTTAAGAAAGCTGTGTGTCAGGGTTATATCCTTTCACCATACTTATTCAATCTGTATGCTGAGCAAATCATCCGAGAAGCCGGACTATATAAAGAAGAACACGGCATCAAGACTGGAGGAAGACTCATAACAACCTGCCATAAGCAGATGACACAACTTTACTTGCTGAAAGTGAAGAGGACTTGAAGCACTTACTGATGAAGATCAAAGACCACAGTCTTCAGTATGGATTACACCTCAACATAAAGAAAACAAAAATCCTCACAACTGGACCAATAAATGGGATAAATCGTGATAAATGGAGAAAAGATTGAAGTTGTCAGGGATTTCATTTTACTTGGATCCACAATCAATGCCCATGGAAGCAGCTGTCAAGAAATCAAATGATGGCTTGCATTGGGCAAATCTGCTGCAAAAGACCTCTTGAAAGTGTTAAAAAGCAAAGATATCACCTTGAGGACTAAGTGTGCCTGACTCAAGCTATGGTGTTTTCAATCACCTCATATGCATGCAAAAACTGGACAATGAATAAGGAAGACCGAAGAAGAATTGATGTCTTTGAATTATGGCGTTGATGAAGAGTATTGAACATACCATGGACTGCCAGAAGAACGAACAAATCTGTCTTGGAAGAAGTATAGCCAAAATACTCATTAGAAGCAAGGATGGCAAGATTTCGTCTCATGTACTTTGGACATGTTATCAGGAAGGACCAGTTCCTGGAAAAGGACATCATGCTGGGTAAAGTAGAAGGTCAGCAAAAAAGAGGAAGACCCTTAACGAGATGGATTGACACAGTAGCTGCAACAATGGGCTTAAGCATAACAACAATTGTGAGGATGGGGCAGGACTGGACAGTGTTTCCTTCTGTTGTACATAGGGTCGCTATGAGTCAGAACTGACTCGCTGGCAGCTAACAACAACAACAACACACAAAGATAAAATTAAGGGGGAAAAGTATAATCTTTGTAACAGAGTGCTTTCAGATGTACGTTAACAGAAACCCTACCTCAAAGTGGCTTAAATGGTAAAATAATTTATGATGCAATAGGCCATCCAGACATAGTGTGGGCTGCAAGTTTACTTGATTCAGCAGCTCAATAATCTCATCAAAGGCATAGGTTCTTTTGGTCCCTCTATTTGCCAGGCAAAATATCAGACACATCCTAGGGCTAGCTTCCCCCATGGTTGTAAGAATGTTACTTGCAACAATCACTATATGCATACTTATTTACAACCAGTGGGAGAGAGACAGCCTCTCTTCCAAGCATGAACTAAAAATTCTTCATTTCAGTCTTACTAGCTTTCACACTGGTCATTTTCCACCCTTGAAATAATAACTACCATCATGTGATTGTCAACCTATGATTGGCTTAAATCTAGGTTCCTGAAGCAATCACCAGAAAGAAGGAGGGGATTACCATAACTGATTTACACTAATCAAGCCCAAGAAAATTAGAGAATCGATCCGAGATGTCCAATATCCAGAGCTAATAGTAGTTAGAAAGATAGAACAGAGAAATGGAAGGAAGGAAATTACAAATAAATAAATACAAGAAAATTACCCCCAAATGAAAGTCACATGTCCAGATTGAAAGCGTTCCTTGAGAGACTAGCATCATAAATGAAAACAAAACAAAACAACAAACTACAGCTGTAGGAACATTGTTGTGAAATTTCAGGACATCAGTAATAAAGACAAGACTGAAAATTCCCACAGAGAAAAAACAGGAACAAAAATTTGATGGACAACAGATGCCAGAAGACCATGGAGCGATAACTTCAAAGCCTAATGGAAATGATTTTCAACCTAGAATTCTGTAGCAATCCAAATTATAAAGAAAGTGGTCAGAATAAAGATGACTCAGAAAATCTATTTACCACCTGTCTTATCCTAGAAAGTTCCTTGATGATGCATTCCAGCAAAACAAGTGAGTAAACTACAAAAGAGAAAAACACAGAATCTTTGAAGTAGTCAATCCCACCTAGGACTGCAGTGAAGAGAAGTTCCAGGATGGCAACCATATAGAGAGCAATGGTTCTCAATCTAGGGTGATTTTGTGTCCCCCAACTCTGGGAACATTTGGGAATGTCTGGAGGCATTTTTGGTTGTCATAATTTGGGGGGGGGGTTGCTACCAGTATCTAATGGGTGGATGAGGCCAGTGATGCTGCTAAATATCCCATAATGCACAGAACAGCTCCTGGCAACAAAAAAGTATCACTGAAGTTGATAAACCTTGGTCTAAAAAACAAAACCCGTTGCTATTGAGTCAATTCTGACTCATAGCGACCCTATAGGACAGTAGAACTGCCCCATAGGGTTTCCAAGGAGCAGCTGATGGATTCGAACTGCCAACCTTTTGGTTAGCAGGCAAACACTTAACCACTGCGTCACCAGGGCCCCAACCCTGGTTTAGAGAGTAACAAATCCAGATTGGAGCAAGAGTTCAGACAGATTATGGGGAATAAAGTGGAGGAGTTTCCATAGAAGATGATTGTTATGGAGTGTTTGAAGGATATCAAGGGTGTAATAAAGGCAAATACTTTAAGAAATAAAGCCAAAAAACTAAACCCATTGCCATCGAGTCAATTCTGACTCATAGCAACCCTATGGGACATAGTAGAACTGCCCCATAGGGTTTCCAAGACTGTAATCTTTATGGAAGTTGACTGCCCATCTTTCTCCTTCAGAGCGGATGGTGGGTTCGAACTGCTGACTTTTCAGTTAGCAGCTGAGCACTTAACCACTGCGCTACCACGGCTCCTTAGTTTAAGAAATAGAGAAAAGTCAATCAAAATTCCGGAGGGGGGTTGTAATCATTGGACTCTTCCTTCCGTTACAGGGAACTATATTTACATAACCACATCAACTTAAAGACAGAACACGGAAGACTTACTTATCAACATTGGCAATGTGAAAATAAAAGGATTGATGAAAAAAGGTGGGGAGTAGAAGAGAAGGAGGGGAGCTGAAGGAAAGACAAAGGAGTACTAACATGTTCACCCTACAAAGTGGGGAACACTATTTGGTGGAACCAAAAATGGAGAAGAACTTATTATTAAAGTTACAAGAGTATCTATAGTGAACTATATAACTCATGCCTAATATTTAGGGCCCCTCCCTGCAGATAGATCATACTTCCCCACCCCCTTAGAGTCGATCTTGGCCAGGTGACGTCTTTTGAACACTGAAACATGCTTGTAAGTGATGCATGTCATTTCTGGGTGGAAGCTTGAAGAGCCAGCACATGTTTTAGCTACTTTCTCCTTTCCTCTCTGCCACTATCCCCAACATCATTTCAGCTTGGGTCACAGAAGGAGGATGATCATGGCATGGAACAGAGCCACCCAGGCAATCCACAATGGGAATGTAGTGTGAGGGGTAGACCTTAGTTATGTTAAGCAACTAAAGGGTTTTGGGTTGTTTGTTACTGCAGCATAACCTAACCTGTGTTATGTAACAACAGAAAAGGTGTTATAACTATATTGAGAGAATGAAGAGAAGTAAAAATAGAGGTATAAGTGAGATAAATCCTCATTTATCATAGCAGGAAGTTGATAGATAATATTTAAAATGAAAATAAATAATGTTATAAGCAGGCATGTTATTTAAAGATATGGAGATAGCTACCAGGAAAGAAAGAAAAAAAATGCTAAGAAAAAATTAAAAGTTGTTACCTGTGAACAGGCTTGGGGTAGGAAGGGGTCGAGCAGGAGGATTTTTTACTTTCATTATAAAATCTTCCTTTTTTTTTTTTAATAATATGCTTGTATTCCTTTGATAGTAGCCCTGGTGACACAGTGGTTAAAGCAATTGGCTGCTAACCGAAAGTTTGGTGGTTTGAAACCACCAGCAGCTCCATGGGAGAAAGATGTGGCAGCCTGTTTTCATAGAGATTTACAGCCTTGGAAACCCTATGGGGTTGCTATGAGTTGGAATGGACTTGACACCAGTGGGTTTTTTTGGTTTATTCCTTGAGATACACATATATATATATTTAATTTCACTTATTCGGCTTTATTTTTTGTAAGCTGTAAAAAATGAGTTTCAGGACCCAGGAAAGCATGGTCATAAAATCCAACTCAAGTCTTAAAAGAGAAGTTGTTCTTTGGTTGACTCAGATCTTACATACATAATTTATTTCTGAAGAACACTGCTTTTGACTGCATGATCGTCAAACTGGTAATCTGACAAACAGCTTCAAAATTAAGAGAAAAACAAAAGGATATTTTTTTGCTTGTGCCATTTAATAACTTTTCAGAGAGAAAAATGCATCAAAAGGGTTTCTGCTCTGCAAGTAATTTGAACTCATCATGAAATGGTGTATTTGCAGACCTGGTGTTCAAGGAGCTAGCCCTGAAGATTTTTTCACTTGTGGGTTCCTCTCCTATCATAGGCCTGAGCCTGTTTTCCAAGGCCTCCTCTGCCAGCATCAAAGTCCTCACGAAAGTCATCTCGTACCTGGCCTCCAGATCATCCTCGGCCGTACTGTCTACCCTGTCTGAAGCCTAGATCCCAATCCATGCGGATGATACGATCGTCTAGGTAGGTCCCGTTTAGGAACCGCATGGCATTTTCGGCATCAGCTCTATTGTAGTATTTTACAAAACAGAAACCACATGCCATTTTCTTTATTTTATCCAGGCCCATAAATACATTTTTAATATCACTACATCTACCAAAGAGCTTATATATTTCATCTTCAGTTGTATAAAAGGAAAGATTCCCCACATACAACAAAGAGCTTTCCTTCAGTAATTTTTCTAGCTCATCATTACTGCCATTGAACTGCTGGTCTCGGTACAAGCTCAGCTCCAGAGAGGAGTCACTCCTTAGCATTCTCAGATCGTTGGACATGGTGCCAAGTGGGTGGTGGGGAGGATACAGTTCGTGGTCCAGCTTGGCAGCAGTGACACCAACCAAAACCCTAAACTAAGTCAGGAGGGGGTAAAAAAAAGAAAGTTACAAGCAGGGAAACAGAAGTACAAACCTGTGGATATTTAAGAAGTTAGTGTCCAGATGCAAGGATCACCAGTAAGAATCACCTCAGCTCTTGACCATGAGGCTCATGTCAAGGCAAACTTTAAAAATGGATAGTTCTGGGCCCCAGGAATGTGGTCATAAGATCCAACTTTTCAAATCTTCCTGAAAGGGAAGTTGGGCTGTATTTGGTTGACTCAGATCTTTTATACCTAACTGATCAGCAAAGATCACTTTTAATAACAGAATGCTCTTGGAAAAAATGTCATAAAACAGTAAAATGCATCAAGTTTTCATGGAGAACCAGCACTGCCATTCCGACCAAGGACTAGGCATCAGATAAATCACGTACGTAATCAGTGTCAAAGTACAAATATAGTTATGGCACACTTTCATGGTTTAAAACAATAAATGTGTGATTCAAGTCTATAGCATGGGAATCAATATATTGTATTGTTAAGTTAGACAAAGGATACCTGCATACTATCAAGTATACAAGTAGCTCTATAAAAATTAAAACTCTGTGCTATCGTAAGTTTGACCTAAATTAAGATTAGATTTTATTAGAAATTATTCAAATTGTCTTCTTAGACTTTGTTATTGTTGTTAGCTGCCCTTGAGTCATCCCATGACTCATGGGGACCCCAGGCGCAATGAGATCAGGCCATTGTGATCCGTAGGGTGTTCATTGACTGATTTTTGGAAGTAGATCACCAGGCCTTTCTTCCTAGCCCATCTTAGTCTGGAAGCTCTGCTGAAACCTGTTCATCATCATAGCAGTATGCAAGCCTCCCCTGACAGTTGGGTGGTGGCTGTGCTGAGGTGCATTGAGTGGGAATCAAACTTGGGTCTCTTGTATGGAAGACAAGCATTCTACCACTGAACCAATACTGCCCTTTGAAGGACTTCTATTGAATTACTTGAGTATTCCAAGTCTATTTTTAAAACCTTCCCAGGGAATTTTAACTAATGCCCCTTTTGCTTTGACTAAATTTTCCTACAGCAGGCAGAGGCATTAAAAAAGGATTCAATTGGTTTAGTTGCACTGTTTACAAACAGACATTAGTTCAAGTTTCTCAAACATTTAATGGCCACTCTTTATTTGCCAGGCACTATGCTAGGTGCTATGAACACAACAATGAAAAAGTCACAGTGAAAGTATGATTTTCAGAATCATTTTATCCCAGCACCTAGCAGAAACAGAGCACCTTGCACACCTGGTAGACATGCAATAAATATCTGTTGAATGAATGAATGAATGAACAAATGAGTTCAAAATCTACTGATAAACCCAGACAAGTAGATACAACACAGTATGAGCAATACTATTTTAGAGATATGCATGAGGCAAGGGGAGAAGTGAACTAACATTTATTGGGGACCTACTTTGTGACAGGCACTGTGTGCACTTTCCACGACATCACACAGCAGGAGAGGCATTTAATCCACCATGGGGATATCAGAGAAGTCTTCTGGAGGAGGGACTGTATGCACTGATTCTCAAAGGACAAAGAGATGTGTGCGTGTGTGTGTGTGTGTGTGTGTGTGTGTGTGTGTGTGTGCTGTGCTGTGGGTGGGAGGTGTAGGAGTTTAGGGAATGAACCAGGCCAGGAAAACAACATGTGCAAGGGCAGAACACAATCAAAGGAAAACAAAAGCATAGAAAACATAAATGTACTGAAACAAACTGAAAAACTGAAACAACAGAGATGTACGACTCAAAGCGATGAAAATGGGGGGCCCTGCTTATTTAGATTGAGGAGCAGTAGGAAGCTCCCTGCCCAAAAAATCATCTTCCTTACAGCCTGTCAATGATGTCTGAGAGTCTGCCGCTAGAAACTCATTACGTTGAGTCATTGACAAATTGCCCTGTTAAAAAACAAATATCCCTCCCAGACTTCATTTCCTTTTTTTTTTTTTTTGATCTGGTTACTAGATTGGCAGACCAGAGAATGAAATAGCTATAGTGAATTTCTTTTTATCCAGGCATTGGACAAAGTTTCCCATAATATCCTTGTAGATGAGATGGTAAAATACTGGCTCGATGTTTGAGCTGTTTGTTGAGATGAGCCAGTAACTAGCTGAACAAACATAGCCAAACAAGCCAAGGAATGGTTTGGCATCAGACTAGAAGAGGAGTTCTAGTAGAGAGCCACGAGGCTCTATTCTTGGCCATGTCTTGCTTGGCTGGTTTATAATTGTGGCTCACTAGGAACAAGAACTTTTTTAAAACAGTCAGAGTGGTCCCAAGATGGAGTGGGCTGCCTTGGGGAGAAATAAGCACTAGGCACTGAGGGGTTTAAGCAAAACTTGGAAAACCCCTTGCCCAGAGGCCCCCTTTAATCAGTGTAGTGTTATGAATCAAACATGAATTTTGAGTCAAAAGACCTCGGTTCAAATCTCAGCTTTATCACTTACTAGTAATGTGACCTTGGGCAAGACACTTAATGATACTGATTTCAATTTCCTCATCTGTAAACTGGGGATCAAAATACCTACCTTGCAGCAAATGCTGTGACAGTGTCATATGTAAAATCACCTAGCACAGTGTTTGATACTCTAGATGTTCAATAAATGATAGATACTATACAAATTATTCCAATTCTGTGATTCAATGACTCAGAACAGGACATATCAGTACATATCAAATCTACTGATGACACAAAGGTAAGAGGGACCTCAAAATTATCTGGGTAGCCTAGGATGATGCTGGACCCCAACTGACAAGGTGATGAATGATATTTAATAAGAATAAATGTAAAGTATCGCTTTTAGGTTCAACACGTGGCACAAGGACAGAAAGAGGGAACTCTGAAAAGAGCATAAGCTTGGGAGCCCTGTTTTATAATTAGGGTACCCCACACTCATTCATTTTCTCACTCATTTATTCATTCAAGGAACATTTATGGAGCACTGTATTAGGTTCTGGGGAAACAATAAGAAATAAGACACAGCCCCTACCCTCAACGAGCTCAAAATCTGGGGAGACAGGCAAATTACAACACAGTGTGATTATTATAATTATAGGAGCACATACTAAGCCCTGAGGTAGCACAAAGGAGAGAGTGAAAAAACTACAGAGGGGGAGACGACTTGCTAGAGGACATGATACCTGAGCCTGTTGGATATATTTTTTTAATTATCACATTATGTTTATTTGTTTGTTTTTGTTGGTTTATGGTACGAAGTACAAAATGTATAAAAGGATGGGCACAGTGAGTCTGCCTCCCATCCTTGTTCCCCAGAGGCCCAGTTCTCCACAGAGGCAAACCACTGTCACTAGTTTCTTGGGTATTCATCTAGACATACTCTCAGTCTGATTTTCAAAGCCAAATAAGGGCTAGGCAGAGATAACAGCACGTGCAAAGGCATGGAGGCATGATGGTGTGTTCAGTTTGGCATTATCTGGGCAAAGAGGCTAGGGAGGGATGATAGGGGAGAAGGCTGGAAGGTATATAGGGCTAGGTTTTGATGGGCCTTGTAAGACATGTGGAGCAGCTTAGGTTGTACCAGTGTGGAGAGCCACAGTAGGGCTGTAAGTAGAGGCCTGATGTTATATGCTTTGTATTATAGAAAATTGATTCTAGCACCAGTGTGGAGGAGAGATTCAAGGGGAGTATGACAAGAGGCAAGGAGACCAGTTAAGCTATTTGAATAGTTCAAAAAAAGAGAAGATGGAGAGCCTGGAATAATATGCTGTAGTAACATAAAGGAATGAGGTATCAGATACTTATTTAGAAGATAGATTTGGCAGGCCTTGGTGACTGGTTGAATGAAGAGTCAAGGTGGCTCCCAAGTTCCAGGCCTGGATAACTGTGTGGATAAAAGTTTGAGTCATCAAAATGGTAATAATGGGCTAGATTGAGGAGGGGGCAGATCTGAATAAGAAAGATAAATTTGGGACATGTTGATTTTTATCTTGAGGGACCTATGGGACATGCCATGCCCCACATGTCTAGTATCAATTGAGTATACAGGTCTGGAGCTCATAAGAGAAGTCTGGGGCTTCAGATATAGATTTGGTAGTTAACAGTATGGTAGATAAAACCATAGGAATGGATGAGATGATCTAGAGAAAAGGTATAGAATGAGAAAATATATCCTGGGAAAGACCAACATTTAATGGACAGCAGAGGAAGAGTTCATGAAGGAACACAAGAAAGAGTAATCAGAGAGGAATGAGGAGAATCAGGAGAGGAGCAGTGTCACCAAAACCAAGGAGTAGGCAATTTCAAGAGAGGCATGAGGACAGAAGTGAGGTGAGAGCAATCAATTACGTTAAATGCAACAGATAGGCCCAGTAAAATAAAAACTGAAAATTGTTGGATTTGGCAATTAGGATGTCATTTATTTCTTTGACAAGAGCAGTGACAGTGGTGTTTTGGGGGCAGAAAAGCCAGACTTTTGGCGGTTGAGTTATGAATGGGAGGTGAGGAAATGGAGACAATGAGTGGAGACTACTCCTGAAAAGCTTCTGTGGTAATGGAAGGAGAGAAATAGAATGAAAGCCAGTTGGGGACAAAGTCAAAGGAGAGTTTTTTTGTTTGTTTCTTCTTTTTTTAAATGGGAGAAAGTTGAGCTTGTCTAAATGCTGATGGGAAGTAGCCAGTAAAAAGAGAAGGAGTGGCTGAGGATACCGATGAGAGAAGGAATAAGTGGTGACAAATGGTCTTCAAAGAGATGGGAGAGAATGGACTCCAAAGCACAGGTAGATGGATTAGCCTTGAACTGGAGAAAGTGTGCGTATTCCTGCAAGACAAGAAAAAAGAAAGTTAAAATGTGAGGACAGGAAAATGTATCTGATGGCCTAGATTTTCAGAATGGAATAAGAGGTAAGGTCATCTGCTGAGGGTAAAGTGGATCATGGGGAGTGAAGT